CTCTCAAATAGTTGCCATAGATCTGAATAGTCATTTTGGGTAATGGACAGTTGGATAAGTTAAGGAGTTGGAGGTATTGGCAAGAGATGAGGTGGAATTAACAGAGCATTCATAATTTAGAGCACAAGCACATCCGATTTTGCAAGCAAATGTCTACTGAGCATCATTCGGTAGTGCCGGTATTCTGTTTTAAAATTACAACTACTGGACTAGTTTGCTCAAGCCACCGCACCACGTTGGAAATTGAGCCCAATTTGAATATTTTGGTCTTTTAGCCAGCTAAGGTGATCCGCGGCCAAAGAGGTCTACTTCAATACCATGAAAGGTAACGCAGCGAGTAGCGAATCTGCATTATATGGAGGCATAAAAATTGTAATACGATAGTGGTTTATCCCTCGGTATTGGTGAGGCGCCACTTTTGCACTTTGAATTAGCCCTCTTGTACCTTGCTGGGTGGGCTGGCCTTTCGGGCCATACCAATAGCCCAGACACCTTCCCTGAGCTGAATGTATGTTCTGCCCGAGTATTGTGTCTTCTTTCGTCTTTAGGGAGTCTGGGAATGCTACAAAATAGCATGTCAACCAATGCAGTGGCAGTGAGGTACATCTCCGAACATGGACGCTACTACAACGGTGTCTTTTAGCTCAAATGGGATATAAGTGGCTTAATTTATTTTGCGGCAAACCGCACACTAAGATATATTGTACTTTGTAACAATCTTGATAGAGATTGTTTGAGTTGGTGGTCGGGACACACAGCATATGCCATAGGGCAATTCGTGACCTCTGACAATTTGAAGTGGATTATAATCATCCCTTGAGGTCAAAATAATGCGTCTAAAATTTTTTAAAATTAGACTTTAATTGTTAAATGGTTTTTGCTGTCGAACCAAAGGGGACATGATTTCCCGTAAAACTTACTTCTATATGCACTGAAAAGAGTCATTAGCCACGGTAAAATTTTGGTTAAGTATGCTAATAAGTGGCGGATTCGCTGGAGACTAGGGTGGGATTTGATCATGAGCACGGGTGATGTTCACGATCATAATTTGCGTAAAGACCTCACATTCTGAAGCTAATTTCCTTATTACTCTGTTTGGAATCTTGGCAGAACGCAAGACCACCTATTTTCACACACGCTTAAAACATGGTGTTATGCGCAGGTGGAGTTTAGAGTAACTTTACTCTTTAAGGAAAAATAATGCTGCATTCATCGTAACCTAAATAATAGAAATATCGGGATGTTTGATGTTTTCAATGTTTTATTGTTTGATTTGGGCTAGTTTTTATGAATTAAAATGCAGCACTGAAAAATATATAAAATTAAAGCTTAGAGAAACTAAACGCTAAAAACCGTCATTTAGCATGCAAGAAAGTGTATGTTTAATTACAACTAATATGAAAATAGCAGTCCGCTCATTCGAGCATTTCCATTTTATTTTGATGCACAATTAGTCCAAAGATAAAACATCATTTGCAATTTAACCAAAAGTTCTTTTTTGCTATATTCACCATAATTATTCACAAAGACAACAGTCAATGATTTTGGCAAATTTATTGTCTTCTCGAT